GTGGCATCTCAGCTCATAGCAACCTCCAACTCCTGGGCTCAAGCGAGTCTTCTGCCTCTGCCTCCCAAGTAGCTGGGACCACAGGCACCCGCCACAACACCCTGCTATTTTTTGGTTGCAGCCATCATTGTTTGGCGGGCCCGGGCTGGATTTGAACCCGCCACCTTGGGTGTACGTGGCTGGCACCTTAGCCACTTGAGCCACAGGCCCCGAGCCAGCACCATTTGTTAAATAAGGAATCTTTTCCCCACTCAATGTTTTTAATTGGCTTGTCAAAGATCAGATAACTGTAGGTGGCTTGATTCATCTCTTGGCTCTCTACTCTGTTCCATACATCTACTTCTCTGTTTTTGTGCCAGTACCGTGCTGTTTTGATCACTATCGATTTATGGTATAGTCTGAGGTCTGGTAGGATTGGAAGTTCTTATGTGGGTTTTAAGTAACAGGGCTATGGGGTTGACTACTAGGTAATTACATCAAACTATCTATTGCGATTTTGCAATCCCTGTATTAATGGGGGGGGGCAATCAATTTTCTTTTTTTTTTTTGAGATGGTTTTTGCTCTATTGCCCAGGCTGGAGTGGTATAGTGGTACAGTCATAGTTCACTGCAGCCTCAAACTCCTGGGCTCAAGCAATCTTTCTCTTCAACCCCCAAATTTGCCACCATGCCTGGCTATTTTTTTTTTTCTAGAGACATGGTCTCACTATGTTGCACAAGCTGGTCTTGAGCTCCTGGGTTTAATTCATCCTCCTGCCTTGGCCTACCAAAGTGTTGGGATTACAGACATGAGCCACCTATCCATCCTGGGGTTAATTTTCTATTAACCAAAATATTGTACCCTAGTTCCTACACCTTATTGTATGTTCCCTTCATTAATTTATGCATTCAACAAAGGGAAATTGTGGGGACAGGTATATGCTAAACTCAAATAACAAAACAATGAAATATGTTTTGTAGAGCAGCAACGAAGCGTAGTGCTTTAAGAGTATAGGTTCTTAAAAAAAAAAAGTATAGGTTCTGAGGGCTGAGTATGGTGGCTCTCACCTGTAATCCTAGCACTTTGAGAGATGGGAGGATTACTTGAGGCTAAGAGTTCGAGCCTAGCCTGGGTAACATAGCAAGACCCTATTTCTACATAAAATAAAAAATAATTGGCTCGGCGCCTGTGGCTGAAGCGGCTAAGGCGCCAGACACGTACACCTAAGGTGGCAGGTTCAAATCCCCAGCCCGGGCCCGCCAAACAACAATGATGGCTGCAACCAAAAAAATGGCCAGGCATTGTGGTGGACGCCTGTAGTCCCAGCTACGTGGGAGGCTGAGACAGGAGACTCGCTTGAGCCCAGGAGTTGGAGGTTGCTGTGAGCATGATGCCATGGCACTCTACCCAGGGGGATAGCTTGAGGCTCCATCTCAAAAAAAAAAATAATAATTAGCACACACCTAAAGCCTCAGCCTGGGCAACATAGCAAGACCCTGTCTCTCAAAAAGAAAGAAAGTGAAAAACAGTACAGCTTCTGGAGTTGGAGCTGGAGCTAGACTACATAGGCTCAGATTGTGGCTCTGCCATTTATTGGCTATGTGAAGCTAGGCAAATTACGTGATCTTTTTATGACTCTATTTCCTTTCCTGTGAAGTGGGGATAATAGAAGTACCTATATCAGAGGATTGCTGTAAGTAGTAAATGAACTAATATATGTAAAGTGACTATAATAGAATATGCCTGCCATACTTGATAAACGTTAGTTATTATAATAAGGAAAGAAATAGTGGCAACACCTCTCTTGTGTAGAAGTTGGCCATCCAAAAGCCACATTACAAGACCAGAAGTCTCTGATAAGCCAGATAGCCTGAAGAGCAAGTGTTTTACTTCCTCTCTACTGTCTTTGAGTCTTACTTGGCTCCCATATATCTTGTTGTATAATTCTAGTAGGCTCTTGTGCCAGGCAGTATTATTGTCTCTCAGCTTTAGATCAACTTGGCATTGGCTACTCTGCAAAAACACATCTGGGCCTTTTAAAATTTCTTTCTCTGTTAGCTGGCATAATGTTAAGTTTTGTTAATAGAAGGTATTGGAGAGAAATTGTAAGAGGAAGGGATTTTCTTTCTAGCCTCCAGAGTGCTTGCTTAGCAGGCTCCTAGGCAGTTTTTCAGGGATGGATTCCTGTAGGACAGGCAGCTTCCCCAGTGTCCAGGTCCTGCAGTGCACCTATCTTACTCAGCACAGACTCCTGCAGCATGTGGCTTCCCCGGCCTCTGGCTAGGTTTCCCCATGCTCAGCTCTTACACCAAGAGTAGCTTCTCAAGGCCCAGGCCCCTGCTGCACACCCAACTGCTTTAGCATGCGGCAGTTAGTAATTTCCACTAGCGCTCACCTTGGACAGTTTATAGTCTTTCCAGTGAGCCACATTCCTGTAAACAGCTTTTCCTGACACCCTGGAGTACAGATTTCCAGCAGCTTTCACCAGCATGGCACTTTTCTACCAGTATAGAAACTTTTCTACAGTTCATTAAGCTCCAGACTTCTCAGTGGGGTTTGCTCTCAGCCTTTGTGGGGCCTCTTTGATTACTCTTATTTTGGCCCTAGGGCAGTATCCACTCCTTATTTTATCTGTTCTTACATTCTTTAGAGTTCTCTCTTGCTAGCTCTTTCTTCATTACTCTAGTCCCTTATTGTAATTATTCTTTTCCTGTTGAAATTACTTTATGATTTCTTTTTACTGATTGGACCTTGACTTATACAGCTAGATAGTGGGTCATAAAAATCAAATGCCTACAGAGGGTAAATAGTGAGTCAAGCCTGGAGTAAAGTGAAACATTTCCAGTGTCAGGGTATACAGCAGCTGATCTTCAGTGTCAGTGCCTGAGAGTCCTAAAGGTATAATGAGAAATGGTGAACTGAAGAGCACATGCCTTATGATGCCATGGGCCGTGGGGTTACTAGATCTATTTTCCAAAGCCGGAAATCTGGATATTTATATGAAATCTCCTGAATTTTATACTTTGGCTATTAATTCAAATATTATTACATCACTGTGTGGGCCAGACAACCTATTTTTTATTTCTGAGTTCAGACTAGAACCTCTGGACTGGACCTTTTGATTTCTAAACCCTCTACAAACAGAAACAGATAACTTGAAGGGTGGCTGGAACAAGTAGAGGAAATAAGTCACAGCATTATGGTGGGTGGGAAGGGGGACAGAGGAGGGAGACAGAAAAACCTTTTGAATTATTACATAACCTCATAACCTGGCAGTGCAGTTGTTTAGAACCACTGAATAGAGAGGAAAACGTCTGCATTCACTTGAAAGGCATTGTGCTATCTTATTCAACCCCAGCACCCTAATTAACAATAGCTACATTGTCAACTTATGTGTCAGGTTCTATGTTGATTTTTAACAGTAACCTTGAAAGGGAAGAATTGTCCTAGAGGAGGAAACTGAGCCTCAAAGTTTACTAAGTTTACAAACACACTGTGTATATAGCCTCTAATTAAATCAACCACAAAATTTTAAAGGAGCTGTCTATGTAATAGAGGCAGTTTACGGCTAGGCGCCTGTGGCTCAAGCAGCTAAGGCGCCAGCCACATACATCTAAGGTGGCGGTTTCGAATCCCCAGCCCGGCCCGCCAAACA